GGATGGATGTCCCACCTGCAAAAATGGTTAGGGTCGCGCTAAATCACGAATTGGTAGAAGTTAGAATTCATGAGCCATTGAAGAGGGTTCCAGTGGCTGAATGGTATACGAGCTGTCTGGCCTTGTAACCGGAAGGTACTGGGTTCGAACCCCTGACAGTGGATGCGTACTGTCGATGATTCCCAAACTAGGATGAAACAGCAGCTGTCCAGTACTTCCTGGTTTTCAATGGTTCCCTAACTGATATCAATGCGTGATCAACTCGGAAAAATATATATATATATAGTTTTGCCTTCCTAAACACAAAAAAGAATCTAATCCGTTCTCTGTCAATACGAGTCCGGAGAATTTGTAGTGACAACAGTGTTGATGATATAAACTCAAACATTTGGAAGAAACCTTCATAGAGAACGGCTTTCCACTACGCTTTGTTGAAGCCAATAAAAAATTACGTGAAAGAAATGCATAGAGCGACAAAGTAGCCAAAAAGGGTGTTGCACTAAAACTTGGAATTTAGGAGTGACACTGCGCAAGTGAGGTACTTAAAAATCATCTGCTAAGATCATTGAGAAAATCGTTCTCTGATGCCTCTTTACAAATAATAACCTACTACAGCCGTTCATTGGTGCACCTTAATGTTGCGGGAAACGTTATCTCGACTGTCTAATTCCATGTGTATTTATGTTTTCACCTGCTCTTATGGAGCTAGGTACATGGGACGTTCTTCGCGAAACATATCCCACCAACGAGTTCGAAACAACCTCCCAGCTTGTTTGAGAAAATCTGTCTGTCTGGATTCAACATAGAACTTGGCACCCAAGTGCACCAGTTCGAGTTGTCACGTTCCAAATAGCACACAAAGGTAGAGAAGAAGATGAGTGAAGAGAATCAATACAGTCTGACAAGTATAAGAGTGAAACAGAATGGGCAATGGTAGGAAGGAATATGAAAGATTACAGAGACTGAATACATCTGCGCTGGCCATTGACGACGATTTTGAGCCATGTCACCTATTGTCTCCAGCCATTGATTCCTAGAGTCAGTCCCGAGGGCCACAACCCGGAAGTCTGCATCTCCCTACCTGAGCGACTCAGTTTAACTGTCAAGGATTGCATGGATTGATGAGGCCATGTTTTTGTTTGGCCACCACTTACTCTTTTCCAACCGGCACCTATGTCAGCTAGCAATGCCCGCCAGTCGGGGGAGGCAATGGTTAGGCATGCGCAGCACGTGACCTAGCAAATGAGAGCGTAGAGGTATTAATTCATCGGTATTGCAACAAATTATAGATATTGACCACAAAGTAGCTGACATATCCCTTAACTATAGTCTACAAAGTTCGACAAAGTCTGACGAAAGGGACACGAGTGCATTTGCTTTGTTGCATAAGCAGAGGTTTTGCCAGTACATAAACGGGAAGCCGAAACTTTGCGTACAAACAAACAAACAAATTGGTACAATCTCTTTCTTTACTATGATCTTGATTTTACTATGTTATTCACATAATTCATGTTCCATTTTTGGGTTTTATTTTATTTCACTTTATGTTATCACATATTCTGATATTTTATCGAGTCGACTATTATGTATGCTCTGACAACATTTCATTCATTCATCTTATGTTGTCTCCATCATATTATATTCCCACATATATTCACACTTCTAAATGTACTTTACTTTATTTTCCGATCATCTATTTCAAGCTTGTTTATTGAACTTTAAGTTGACTTCTGTTCATTTAGTTTTATATTATTATTATTCTCGTTTAGATTAATTCTATTGTGAAAAGCGTTAACAATATCAGCTAATAAAAGTGACATTGGATTCTTCGTTTTAATTTAGATTTTCCCGTCGACTGATCGAACCAAAAGTGATCGGTATATATAACCTAAATTAGATGATTAATAAGACGCGTTGCACAAGAGGTGGCCAGCTCTCGTTGCCCAAGTTGTCTATTGCTATGGCGTTTGAGACTGTGGGGGCACAGGGTTGGAGTCTCGGTGGGAACACTATCACTCACTGCTGGAATGCGGGTACATGCGGATGACGAGTCCCGAATAGAACGAAGTTCGCGTTATCCTGGATTACACTGCTAGTTACCGTCAACCAATTGACATTGGATTGTGTCTGTGACTGTGTGCATCCCCTCTCAATATGCTCCAAATTTCTTATATATATACATATATATATATATATATATTGTTGTTGATCTTCCTTTGTCAGCTGGTAGAATGACGATATCCTTCCTATTTTTCAGCTTTTTGAGGGCCACTAGTTCTTGAGCGTTGAGTTGTGTGTGTTGTTTTTTCTGTTTGACCATTGGTACAATTGATATAAGAATAAAACTTGTGCACTGTGGTACAATTGTTTGGCGTATCTCTTCCTGTGTTTCCTCGTTCAAGTTTTGATGATTTGAGTAATGATTCAAGGGCAGCGAAGAAATCATTTTTCGAAGCATCTCCGGTGTTGTAGTTTAATCCTTTTTGTAGTAGTTGTTGTTCCATTTTTGATAGTGGTTATTTTGATAGTTTGACTACGCAGTCTATAGGCGTATTGTCTGGTTGTTGTTTTCTAATCTTGGCTAGCTTGGTTTTGAGGACTCTTCGTCTTTTTTCTCTGTGTTTTCCACTTGACAGTGTGATTGCGGTGATCAGCGTTGACAGGTGTTCCTGGTTGAGGGTGTTCTCTAATTTTACTTTTTGGACATCTGTTATTTGTTGATCCGATAATGTGCGTCTGTGATCATTAATTTGACCATTCGTCTTCCACATTGTTAGGCCAATTTCCATCCCATTGGGCAGTTGACTGGTGGTTTGTATCTTACACTGTTTGGTAGGATTTGATGACGAAGGCACTCATGGAGAAAGAATAATTGTTCTCTGGTGGATCCTTGCCTTTTGGCGAAGTCTTCCCACTTTCTAACAGAGAGAAGCGTATCCCGCTCGTAAGATTTAGATATGATAGAGAAGATTTGTAGCTCAGGTGGATGATTTTGATGTGGTTTTGTTCTCTGAGCTGGATGGTTAATTTGAAAGTCCCTTGTACTAGATTGTGGTCTGAACCCACATCTGCTCCTCTCCTCGACCTTGTGTCCAGTAGGCTCCGTCTCCACTTTCTTGAAATTGAGATGAAGTCTACTTTGTTTTTAGTGTTTCCATCTGGTGAAATCCATGTCGCTGACCTTGTGTATATTCTTGTGTTTGAAAACGCTACCACCAATCACCAAATCATTGAAGGCGCAGAAGTCTGAGAAGAGTTCACCAATGTCGTTCATTTCACCGAGGGCCTCACGACTCATGGTGAGTTCTCTTCCTGTGTTGTCTCCTCCCAGCTTCGGATTCATGTCACCCATCAGGATTTTGATATCGCCATTTGGAACGTTGTCCATTATTGCTTGTAGTTGTCTGTTGAACTCCTCCTTCTTCTCTTGTTCTGAGACGTTTGTAGGCACATAGCATTGAATGACTGTAACCTTCCTTCCTTTTGAGTTGAACCTGGCTGTCATTTTCCTGGAGGAGATTGGTTCCCACTGCATGAGAGCTTTGGCTGCTGTTGGTGACATCATGATGGCCACTCCCTCGGTGTGCTCGTGGTTGTCCTCTGGGTGACCGGAAAAGATTGTCTTCCTAGTTGGTAGTTGGCACTTTCCAGTTCCGTTCCATCTGCTTTCGCAGATTCCCAACACTTCTATTCTGTACCTCCTCATTACAGCGGCTAGCTGGGCAGCCTTTCCAGTTTCGTACATTGTACGAACATTTCAGGTACCCATCCTTACTTATGCTTTCATCGAAAGAAGGCACATCGGCTGACCGGCTTCCCGAAGGCTTTCACCAGCCTGCATCATTTCGCTTCCCCGATTCCAGCAAAAAATAAGGTTATTGTTTATGTTTTTAGAATTTTTAATAAATTTATTCGTTGAAGTTTCTGTAGCGATTTGGTTGTTTTACAGGGGTGGAGTTGCTAGCACCACGCCCCAACCCTCCCTCTTTACCCGGGCTTGGGACCGGCTAGAAAACTAGAAAGCTGGTAATCTAGCGAGGTTCATAAACCTACGCCTAACAACATACTTCCAATTCAACGGCCAAATATATGAACAAGTCAAAGGAACACCCATGGGATCGCCAATATCAGGTTTGATTGCAGAAGCAGTGATGCAAAGACTCAAAAACATAATTCTACAAAAGATCAAACCCAAGATTTGGATACGCTACGTTGACACATTTGTAATAATCAAAAGAAACGAGTTAGATAAAACTTACAACTTAATAAACAACGTCTTCAACGACATCAATTTCACAAGAGAAGAGGAATCCGAGAACCAAATACCATTTTTGGACGTCTTGGTCAAGCGAACAACCACAGGGGAGTTAGAAACTCAAGTTTATAGGAAAGCAACTCACACACACCAAATCCTGAATTACAACAGCAACAATCCAATAACACACAAAAGAAATAGCATACAAACACTATTCAAGAATACCAGCTAGGACTCATTGCAGCACTCCCACCTTAAGGAAAGCTAATCAATGTATCATCTATAGTTCTACAGAAGGCCAAATATGAGCCCGACTACCTCTCAGTGCTAACATTTCTGACTTCTGGAGAAAGGGAGTGACACGGGATCGAATATCAGAGAGGGGGACATCAGTTCCATTTCAGGCTGCAAATACGCCTTTTTGATGAACACCAAAAAGCAATAAATCTGATTCCAAGGACTTGTTTGCGGAACACTGCGAGTTCGAGTCACCTAGCTTGTTGACTACTACATTGCAAACGACTTGTAATTAATAAAATTCCGTCGACACAGTTGGCATTGGCCGCCTTTTAGTTTAGTGACTAATCAATATACCTCTCTCAGTTTTTTCTACATCCCACGTCCTACATGGCGTATCCGTTAAAAACTTCAACTACCTTCTTCAAAAGACAAAAACTAAACAACACAAGCAGACATACACATACACACACACAGGGAATCATTATGCCACATCTCAATCACTTACTTTACATAACGACGATATTTCACATAGATATTATCACGGAACATATTACCAAAATCATGATGAATATACGCTTTTGAAGATTGTAGAGTTGAGGCTATTGCAGCAATCGACATTGGCGTACGTTGGTGCAAGAGAGTATTCACACCACCGGCACATTCAGAGTATAAATTATATCGATTTATACCCCTTAAGGGCTCATCGGTCAATATACTGATCTATAAAAATAACAATAATAACAAAAATAGTTATCAACAATAATAGTACTACATACAGTAACTAGAGTAACTACAGCTTGAAACAGTGAGACTCAGTAGTCAGTTTTCAACGTAGAATCTTCCACAAAAGTGCCACACTTCATTAAATTATTTATAAGTACAGGTAGAGAATAAAAGTAGAAATCCAAATAATTTACGATAAACGGAAATGTTCGAGACCAAAGCCAATCCATATATGTAAGGGTGAATAAATCCGCAATATTGTGAACTATTTCAGCCTTCACTCCATACTGAGGATCAAATCGCCACCCGGCCAGAAAGGATAAGCAACAAGAAACTATGGGAACAAACTAACAGACGAAAGCCGACCGTTCAGCAAATATGTAGGAGAAAATTGAGGTGGATGGATCGGGGATACATTGAAGAGGCCATCGAATGACATCGCACTCCAGTCCATAGCTTGAGTGGAATCCAAATGGGTAGCGACGAGGGTGACATGGAGTAGGTCGTGTGAGGAAGAGATACGAGAGTTTGGTCAGTCAGCTGAAGAGGACGGCAAAAAAAACAGAACAAAGTGATGTTGTTATGTACTCGTCGCTAAATTATTGTTATGGACTGGTCGAGAAACTAATAGTCCTGACGCGAGAAGGCGGAAATCAGAAGACCACTAGGTTTGCGATGATACTTCTATTGTCCAAACACAAGGAGACGAAAATAAATGGTCTCACACCAAAGTGGTAAGTAAGTAAAGTCACAAGATTGTGAATGCGAAATATATATGAATGTTCCAGACAAAGCGTGGGAAAATCATTAGACAGTCTTAACATGAATGGCTAATTATAATGGAGTGTCGATCCAATTATACATAGCGAATATAGCAGACATGTCAACAACCACCATATATGGATATATGTCACCAAGCAACGGACTGTCAACAAACACTCATATTATATATAATATAATATAAGGAGAATACACATTATTAAAGGAGACAAGTTCACACAAATGAAATGGTCACAGACTAAGAGAGCAAACAGAAAGAGAGACCAACATACACACACACATAAATATATATATGTGGATACATATCAGATGTGTTGTTGAAGCCAGCCCTATGTTCCACTCGGAACTCAAGGGAATAACAATGAATAATAATAGTTCAAGTTATGTCATCATAACCAGTCTCAAGTCATTCATTTTTAAGACCTCCAGGACCCCAGAGTCAGACAGTTTATACTTCTCAGAGTGGCTGGCTACAAGCAACAGTCAAAGAATTCATGGATTAGTGATATATTCCACCATACAATACGATTAAAAATTAAAAACATGTTTCTCTTCGTATCAAGGAAACCACAGATCAAAGTCAAACATACTACTCTACACAATAAATAAAAGCAATCCTCATACAAGTAATTCCTAAATTTATTGGTTTACAGACATTTAATTGACTCCAAGTTAAATCTTTAAATATTTCCATTTTTAATATTAGAACAAGACATATATATAATAGGCGAACAATATTGTTGTTTTCAATTAGATCTTCATCAGGCTTTACGCTAATTTACATAGATTTATATATAAGGAAACAATTTAACCAATGACGGTGATTTTCAAAAGAATGGATACTGAACAAAGAGTACTCTTTTCGATAACCCCTTCAATCATCAGGCTCTACATTTATACATACCTTATAGTGAATGAATGAATTAGTGTTATGAACAACATTAATGTTGCTGTTTAAATAACATCGAATCAATAATAATATTAATAGATTACAGTTCAATAGCATCAACATAGAATAAGCTGAATGTCAGAAACATTAAGAAAGATAATAGTACAAATTCATGAGTTTATAGCTTCTACTGAAGGCCAGGGCAATAGTGGGGGTTGGACTTGCTTCTTTTGGACACACAGAGTGCTGGTTGTTTGAGGCGAATCGCAATAGCCTCTGCTGTTTGGAGGATGTGGTGCTTCGATGATTTTGGTAATTTATTTGGCACCCGGTATAATATAGAGAAGGATTCATCTACGCTGGCTGGGTTTGTCGCCTGTTTGCACCAGATGTTCCAATATCGAGCTGTTAATAGTTTTCACTACACGTTTACTTAGCCATGCTGGGAGATGTTCTCGAGTGAGCACGAAAAATCAAGTTCCTAGAGCAACGGCCAATATAACTGGCTCCACAAGCGCAGTTGATTTTGTGGATAAAATAACAATAATAATAATAATAGTAATAATAATAATGTGGTAAATATTTTGAACGTAGTTAATAACGGTGATTAAAATGATAACAAAATATTGATAATAAGGTTTATGCAGGTGACGATAAGAATAACAAAGGTAGTATATGTATGTATGTGTATATGTGGACAATGCAATAAATAAATTAGGTTAAATCTTAAAAGTTGCGTAATACTAAAGATAGGGTGAAGTGGACAGATAATCAGAGTTTAAATAAATATCATAAAAGTACGGAGGAAATGTAAAATGTCACTCAGGCAAGCAAGGAAGAGGCAAAGGTAGAACAAACTTCTTTTGTTGTATGCAAAGACACTAAGATTGTCCTCTCGAATTAATTCCCATAGTTTCGGCTATGTGTAAAAGACGGATTCTGATTCCGTTCGAAACGCTCGATGGAATGCGATAGATAACTTTGAAGGCACTATTTTTGTCCACTTGTTGACCACTATCAATCAAATGAGCCAAAATAGAACTTCGTATGGATTTTATTTGATCTTTTCTGAACCATGAAGGAAGATGTTCATTGATGCGATTGTTAAGCCGTCTATAGCTATATAGCTCTCTCCACAGGAGCAATTAAATTTATGGATACTCATAGAAGTGGCACAGCTAGCTAGGTAGCTTGTCTTTCGCTTGAGCAATCATAATTGGCCGGCTGGAAAGTGACAACCAAAGGGTGGTGGGAGTATATGTCCGTTTTATTGCTCTCGATAATCCCTAATGTAAGACTTTGCTAGCCATGTCCCCATTAAATTACAGTTTCATGAACATTTGTTTCTTTTCAACTGTTGCCAGTTTCTCTTTATTGTACCTGGTGTTCATGTGTCTCCTTACAAATGTACTAGGTTCATTTGATTGATAACGGTCACCAAGTGGACAAAAGTATTGCCTTCAAACTTATCTATCTGATATGTATCCACATAATATGTGTGTTTGTTTTTGACAGTCTGTTATATTTTGCTATGTATATATGGATCGATATTCCATTATAATTAGCCAATCATGTTAAGACTGTCTATTGATTTGTCCATTTTTGAACATTCGCTCATACATTCCTGTGACATTGATTTTCCTTGTTGTTTGAAAAATACAAGTATCATCGGGAACCTGGTGGTTTTCTGATTTCCGCCTTCTAGCGTCAGGACTATTAATTACTCGACCAGCACATAACACTATCGCATTCGATCGAGCATTTTGAACGGAATTAGAGTCCGTCTTTTACACATAGCCGAAGGTATGGGAATTAATTCGAGAGAAACAATCCTAGTCTTTAGTGTACAATTGGTGGATGGTGGCTAGCAGTGGAATCCAGGACAACGCACATTACGTCCTATTTGGGACTCGTCAGCTGGATGTACCTGCATTTCTCAGTGAGTGAGTGAGTGATAATGTTCCCACCGAGGCTCGAACCCAGTACCCATAGTTTCGAACGCCAAAGCGTTATCCACTAGACCACTTGGGCCACGAGAGCTGGCCACCTCTTGTGCAACGGGTCATATTAATTAGTCTAGTGGATAACGCTTTGGCGTTCGAAACTATGGGTACTGGTTTCGAGCCTCGGTGGGAACATCATCACTCACTGAGAAATGCAGGTACATCCAGCTGACGAGTCCCAAATAAGACAAAATGCGCATCCTGGATTCCACTGCTAGCCACCATCCACCAATTGTATACTAATTAAATACCCAGACATCGTCGAAGCATCTGCACAAGAAGCCGACATGTCAACCTGAGACCGAGCACTTCGGTCCAATCAATCGACGGGAAAATCAAAAATTCAATTCAATAATCCTAGTCTTTGCATACAACAAAAGGAGTTTGTTCTACGTTTGTCTGTCGCTTGCTTGCCTAGGTGAATTCTATTCAAAAACACCTACCACCCTTTCTTATTTTCCATTTCCTTCGTACTTTTATGATATTTATTTAAACTCTGATTATCTGTCCACTTCACCTACCTTCAGTATTACGTAACTTTTACGATTTGAACTAATTTATTTATTGAATTGCCTACATATACACACATATATTACTGCCTTTGTTATTCTTATCACCACCTGCATAAATCTTATTATGAATATTTTACTATCATTATAATCATAGTTATTACTGACGTTTAAAACATTGACCACATTATCATTACTATTATTATTATTATTATCATTATTATTATTTGATCCACAATATCACCGTCATTGGTTAAATTGTTTCCTTATATATAAATCTATGTAAATTCGAGTAAAGCCTGATGAAGATCTAATTGAAAACAACAATATTGTTCGCATATATACGCCTTGTTCCAAGTTAAATCATGAGCTGATTTCAGTTAGAGAATCAATGAAAATCGAACGGCTACTTCGTTCTAGTTTGGGATTCATCAGCCCCACGAACACCCATGACCACAAACCCAAGGGGTTGATCCCAAGCCCTTCAGATTACGAAGTGAGTTCACTGAGCATCTAATCACTAAGACACAATTCACTGGCCTACGTATGCTAACTTAGGACATTTTCATAACTTACAGTGGTGCGTAAATGCCAACCACCAGTATCATCGGCAAGTGTAGTTTGCCTCACATTCAACTTGGTGAACACGATTAATCGCAACTTCTCACTAGAACTGCAAGTATCTTGTAGTTAGTCAGTTACTAGTAAGCACATTGGTTTCCAGGGTTTGATTTTAATTACTTCTCTTTCATTAGCTTGAATAATTGTTATGTTGCTGCTGCTGAGTGGTTAATAGTAGTTTTCCCCGTCGCCAAA